CTTGGGTCACGAGGGAAGAATATCCTTGCGGACACCCTACTTTTAGCGGATCAAGACCATCGCACAGCACAGGGCTGTGTCCAGTAACAGACCAACCGCACAGGAGACCCGACTGTCACGATGTACCGTTTTCGGATGCTAAAGTCATGCTCACAGCAACAATGAAAAGCAGAGCAAGACGCATTTTGTCGATAATGTGGTGACAACTAAAACTATTCGCGACTATATTATTTTTTTTCTTTTATCTACGTGTAACTCGATCCATTCGCTCCTTCTGATAAAGCTGCTCAGTCTTTCAATGCCCATATAAGTGGGGATTACTGAAAGATGTAATTTTCTCAATTCCATTTTTTTTCTCTGCGACACTCAATACCATTCAGTAACTAAGAAGGCAGAAAAGTGAAAAAGAGCGCTGAAAAAAGCACGCAATTTTGCTTCAAATATTTGAGTCTTCTCATCTGCAAAGTATTGAAATAACATCCGTGCTCTCAATACAAATTGTTCTTTCTGGCTGCTCTTTCAACTGTAACTCTTAAAAACTAAAGATGATGTAACCAGTCATTTCACTGTACCACGCTTTGTTGTTTCAGCACTCTATGTCGCACGACTTTGCATTATATCAGCTATAGTTTAGTTTGGACTGATAATTAGGGTTTTCTATTCGCTTCTTAGGTTGTTTTCCAGTTAAATGGTCTATGGTACACTTGCATCAATAGAAAGTGGTTTTAGTGAATCTAGTGCATTCGATAAAAGACATTTTTTATCTCGTGTTCCTTGGAGCCTTCCTTCGACATCTCATATATATTGGGCTTTTTTAGTTTGGTGAGATGCCGGAATCCCAACATCACAGCAGAATTTTTTTTTTATTTCTTTATATTCCTTAGACTGAAAGGCTAGGGTCTAGAAACCATAATTCACCTGTGTCTGTCTGTCCGTCTGTCTCTCTGTTTGCCTGTCTATCTGTTTGTCGGTCTATCTGTTTGTCTGTCTGTCTGCCTATCTGTCTGTAACAAGCACTTGGCACAAATGACCATGTCTATGGGACNACTGCACTGTATTCGCTAGAGAAAAATGTACTGTATCTTACAAGATCTAAACAACGAAATCAATAAAATAGATTAACATTGATTTTTGTCAAAGGGGTCCCTCAGGCGATGATTTTCTTCAAAACTGGATTTCTATTGGTTTCCGACCGACCAATACGATTTCGAGGCAAATAGACTTCAGATTCAGATTCCTCAACTTCGAAACCTTTACCTTGACCTTCGTGCTAAGCCTGTCAGCAGAAGATTTCAGAGAACTATGTTTTAATGAATCGGTTTTGCTGACCAATAAAGCATGGCACACACAGACATTAATTTTCTTTAATCAAACTCATCTTTTCAGGATTCAGAATAACAATAACAAAAGAATATTGTTATTTTCTCCGATAACAGTAACTTCTAACCCCTTGTCCGAAGCGATTTTGAAGTCACCTGGAATCACTTGGAATCACTCTGAATCAATGGAATCACACAGAATCATGGAATCAGCTGTTTCCTCTTGCGAATAAGTCAGAATGAGGATTGGACAATTTTTGTATCGGTGACAAAAATCACTGCTTCAAAAGATGTCATGACAATCGAATTAAATATGATTATCTTCCTTAAAGTGAAAAAATACGGAGAAATAGCATCTCTAGTCAACTCTTCCCAAAAAAGTTCCCAAAGATTTCTGAGAGGGAGTCCACAAGGGTTTCGCATTTTTCGGGGACTCAACGGAGACTTCGCAAGGGAGAGTTGACTAGGGCATGATCGAATTCAATTATAAAAATGATAATTATTAGATTGAAAATTATAGGACACAATAGAAATATGATGGAATGCAGCGCAAGAATGCTCTAACATAGCAGTTTTATGTATATTTTATGTATGAAAAAACCAAAGTCAATTGGAAAAATTATTTCTAATAATGATTTCGTGATACTATGGAATAAGAAAAGTTCTGTCTTCATTTTATTTCTATACTTAGTCATTTAAAAGTGAAAATTAAGCCAAAATTCAAATAAACACTTCATTCTTGCAGTTTTGAATGCATGTTCATTGATTGTAATATTATTCGGTTATTACATTTCACTGATGGCCAAATCAACTTTTAATGAGACCTATGCAGATCATGGTATCAATAATATGTTGAAGTATCGTATATAAAAATGATTCGATGCCTTCTAGTTATCATATTTTTTCGAAAACTCATTTCTTTTACACATTAGTAGAAAAAAGACATAACGAACCGAAACGGTAGAGCAACGTCTTGTCTACTTTCACGGCGCTTGTATCGAGAGAGATGAGCTGTATATGTGTTAGCTTACCATTCCGCTTCTCATTGGTGAAAACTGCATTAGTTGAGAAAAACAAATTATTTTGTTTTCTGTAGTATTGAATGAGTGGGTGTAGTGGGTGTGGGTGTTAGCTTGCGCCTCGATGTGTTCAATTCATTGTAACCCACGCCCACGCCCACGCCCACGCCCACGCCCACGCCCACGCCCACACCCTCACATCCACACCCACACTCACACTCTTAAAAAATAAATAACGTGCTCTACCATGGTAATACTTAATGTGATTAATAGTGTTCTACTGATATATCAATAAGATATGTTTTAATAGTTTTTTGTCCTGCTTTGGCATCAGTTATTAAACATTCAATAATGAAGTGAAATTCTTTGTTCTGCTTCGTAGTTAGTTATTCAACTTCATCTTTGAAACACTTTAGTCAGATTAGATGCATGTTGAATTGTAGGTCGTTCATGACAACAATTCTAAATAATCAATTCAAATATTTAACTTATTGAAATAAAGTATATTCGTATTTTTATACGTATGGTTTAACTCATTGACCAAGATGTCGAACAACATTTATCGTTTGTTTTCGTGTTAAATCAGTACGAATCATAATTGACATTCGACATGTTTTTTGACTTGTGTCATTTAAATGTGAAAGTTCATCAATTTCATCATGGTATCAAATACATATGATTGAACATCAGATGCTATTGAATAAGAAAGAATACAACAACGACGATAACCAATACGTATTTCATTTCCATCGATTTCAATATAAAATCTAAAATTAAAATGAAAAAAAAGTCAATTTTCATTTTATAATTTCTCAAAAGAAAATTATCCAAGACGATTAAATATATGTAAATATTGTTGAAGAAGAACTTGTCAAGATGAATCAAGTGGTATGGATTTTGAATGAAGAAGAGATTACCGACTAACTGTTGTTTGTTCATAAAGACGATGAAAATTATATAAAGGGTGTTCCAGAAGTATTGAAAAGATTTTTAAATTCATCGTTCTCGTATTTAACAAAAGCAAACTCTTTGAAATTTCGGCAGATTATCGCACATAGGTAGTAATACATAACTACAAAATTTGAACTCTATACCTTGTACATTAGATGAGAAAATAACAACACCATCATGTACTATTTTTAAAATTTTCCTGATAATCTTTGTTATTATTTTTAAAAAAATATAATTATCAGAGATGCAAGAAAACAAATCAAAAATTATAAATGCTCCTATATTTGATTACCAACTTGATCAGTACATAATTTTTATTGGTCTGGCATTTTATATCTCATTCATTCATACATAGAAATACTAAAGAAGGGGGGTCGTTAAGTGATGAAATCGGCCATCTCTGGAAATTGTGTTTCTTATTATCTCTGTAATCAAATCCGGTGTCAAAAGGCGATTAACGTTCGAATTAGTCAGTTATCTCTTATTCCGGCTGCGTACGTCGGACTCAAAAATTGATATTATCTATGCGGGTGTGTGGGTGTGGGTGTGAGTGTGAGTAGTGAGTGGATGTTGGTGTGGGTGTGGGTGCGGGTACGGGCAGAATGAAAAACTATACCCACACCCACACCCTCCATTCGATCGACTCTGCCTTTTGTTTCGTTGTAGTGTAAGATAATTTCTGACTTCTTTTTTCGCTCAAAGTCAATAGACACGTCATAATGAAAAGATGACAGTAAGATCACAACATGTCTTTTTTTGATACATAGCTAACCAATGTTAGTTGCCGATCGAAACAGAATATCGATGATTGTTCAGGACGATGAGGATCTGGCTGCAGTTCTCGTGGAATTCCTTTCCTGCTTCGTCGAATAGTTCCAACAAGAGTTGTTTGAACACATAAAAGATCTTCTGCCAACTCGGTACTGGTAAAATAATTATCTGTAGTGGTTAATTCTTCCTGTATTGATCCAAGGATGCATTAGCCGCTTCACCAGATTACAAATGCGATTCTTATCTTCAGCTGCAGATGCTGCTTCAGGTTGACGTCCAAGATAGACTTCACCATTCAATGGATATGCTGTAACTGAGTCGCAGCACCAAAATATTCTCAAACCATATTTTCCGGGCTTGCTAGGAATGTATTGGCGGAAATTGCACCGACCACGAGTTGGAATAGGTTGTTCATCCACAGTAAGCGATCCACCAGGTGTGTAACATATTTGCAGGCGAGCTAAGAACATCGTCCATAAATCTCGTATTGCAGCTAACTTGTCTTTTTTCAATCTTTTGTACCGAGTTGCTGTATTATCGAATCGACAAAATTGAGCGCAAGCTTTTGAAGCGATTCTTTGTCATAGTTGCTCGAAATATCGGTCGTCCATTCATCATTGACCATAGCTCGTCGAGAGTTTCATTCTTGGACCGATGAACACCTGCAAGGATTAGCAATCCAATGAAAGCCCATATTTCATCACAATCCGTCTCCTTCCACTGATTTTCTTTACCACGATTTCGATTATTCCACTGTTCCATGATCAGATGAGCTCATCAGTTGGTTTCTCTTACCAGGGAAAAGAATCATTTCTTGAGTTATTAGAAGTTGAAATGCTTCTTTTATAGTTTGTATGCCAGCTTCTGGTCGTCCAATACCATTTCGCTGCCGCAAGATGTTAGCTGGTGGCACTTTTCGTTTTGGAGACTCTTGTGAAGTTCATTGTCGTCCAGATCGTACCGTAAATATTTTGGCTGTTGGTTGTTCCACTAGTTGTTCACGTTTAGCTCGACGTCTAGGCGGCTCCTCATCGCAGAAACATTCAGTTTCGACGTAACTTATATCGGATTCATCACCCAAATCCTTTTCAATTACATCATCATCGTTTGATTCGTCAGAACTACCTTGTAGAGCAGAAGATATTTCTGGATCTTCGGGATCATTGTCTACATCATCAAATTCGTCTTCGGAGTCATCATCGAAGTGTTCGGCGCATTCATGCCAATGTTTTGGTTGATTAGGATCAAATCGGTTGCTTGAAGTCATATTCCTTCGAATAATATTCGTATCGAATGCAGTAAATAATGGTTTTATTTCAATTAGCGGGTATGTATATTCAAATATGAGGAAGAATAAAGAGTTTACTAGACGGTGCCAGAAAAAAAAATACATCACTAGAAGATGGAAGAGAGAATATACATAATCCATATAGAAAGAACGAGAAAGAAAACGAATGTACCAGAACGCACTAGAGAGAAGAATATATGAGTGATTTGCATAGCCATTGTACGGTTGGTTGAAGGAGAATGTTTTGTTAATAAAAGATATTCTGCTGAACATATTTTAAATGTCTTTTTATTATTTTGCTGCTTTATAAACAGTCCTACACTTATGAAAAAAGGAAGTTTCCAACTCGAAGGAATACTGAGATATTCATCAAAGAAAACCGAAAATAGCTGTTTTTGGCTCCACATGGAAAAAAATCAATGCTTTTCTCATTTATTTTAACCTGTTTTAAAAGTTTTCTAGAGTTTCTTGTAGTTTGAAAAGCAGGCTTTTAGAATATGTACTTTGAATTTAAAATAAAATAAAATTTGGATCTGATTTTATCGAAATCTCGGTTTCCGCACACTTTTAGCAAATTTTGTCCACCGAGATTATAACTAAGTTCATATGCTAACGACGAATCCTAAAAACTTTAAAAACAGACAGAAAGATAGAGCAGACCAAGCTCTACATTTTGCCAGAGAAAGAAAATTTTTAACGCCTCTATTCAATTAGAAATCCAGATGAAATATGTAAAAAAAAACGCTTTTCTGTACAAAATGTCCATCGAGATTTCGAAAATTGTTTAGTTTATAATTCCAGAAGAGGTTGCCCGTTTGAGCCTAAAATTTCACCCTTTTTTTCAATTTTTGCCAAGAATAGATGGTAGAAATTTCAACTCTCCAGCTTTCATTGCCACAGAAAAAATCTCATTTTACATCGAAAATGTCCACCGAGATTCTTTTGTCTATATTTTGACAAAAATAACTTCAAATTCCAACTCATCATACATCATTCGATTCGTTGGAACTTGTGCTATTCCTGTATAGTGACAAATATTTTGTGGGGTCTATACGTTGTCTTTTTTTTTCAACATCAATGACGCAACAACTATACTTTTTACTTTTATATCTTATTTATAGGTATAAACTTATTTTTTTGGATCGTTAGATATCAATACAAACTCGGTTTTGGATTTTAAGTGAAATGTTACATGCGGCTTTTGCTCTGATGCAAAATTTCTGCTTTTCTTACCATGTTTTATTTATAGGGCAAGCGTTTATTTCTACTATTCGTTTCAAAATAGAATGCACACCACCGTTTTTCGAATAACTTTTGATAGGAACAAGATAAAGACCTGTGGTTTTCACCATCCGAATGAGAAATCTTGGGGGCATAGAACAATGTCAAAATCTGATTGGTCGATAATTGACCAATAAGGTGAGTTTTTTTAGAAGATTTTGGAGACGATATTTTTTATAACAATTTCCAATCAGATTTTAACTTGTGATACAGCTATTTGATAGAAAAAAATGATTTTCTTTCTATCTACGCAAATCCGAGATTTTTAGCTTGTTCTGTTCGAGAGTTATAAGAGTTTTCGAGAGACCCGCGATATTGGCTTATGAGCCCCAGATCACCCGAAAATAGGTCTAGATAGGGGTTATTGGCTACGCTGAGTCTATTGGCGATGCTTGTTTTAACTTTCAAAGACATCTAGAGTCACTATATCAAGATTTTGGAGATTTCAAATTTTTTCGCCATACAGCGTAAATAGTCTATATTTCGAGAATCTGGATATAGTGGCTCCAGATGTCTTTGAAAGTTAAAACAAGCATCGCCAATAGACTCAGCGTGGCCAATAACCCCTATCTAGACCTATTTTCGGGTGATCTGGGCCTCATAAGCTAATATCGTGGGTCTCTCTAAAACTCTTATAATTCGCGAACAGAACAAGCTAAAAATCTTGGATTTGCGTAGATAGAAAGAAGATAATTTTTTCTATCAAATAGCTATATCACAAGTTAAAATCTAATTGGAAATTGTTTTAAAATATCGTCTCCAAAATCTCCCCAAAGAACTCACCTGATTGGTCAATTATTGACCAATCAGATTTTGACATAGTTCTATGTCCCCAAGATTTCTCCTTCGGATGGTGAAAACCACAGGTCTTTATCTTGTTCCTATCAAAAGTTATTCGAAAAACGGTGGTGTGCATACTATTTGGAAAGGGATAGCAGGTACCACTCTCTTTCGCTCATGTTCAGTCGCAGTTTTATTTTGGTCCCTATTTATAGTTGTCTTTCTCATTTATACTCAGTAGCCTGTTTTTTCGTATAAATACATGTGCGTTTTCTCCAGTAATGTGTGTACAGTTCATTTTATTATTCTACATAATGCATTTAGTTCATTTATGTCGGATTCGTGTATAAATCCAGCAAGAAAATTATAACACTTAATCCTCTATTGCTTGTAGATAAAAGAATGGGTAATATATTGAAAAAGAAATCAGTTAGATATGATAAACAGTATAATAACAAAATTAAAGCTAGACATGCACAATCAAAAATTTTTGATAGAGAATATAAAAAGAAACGTGCATCGATTAAAGCAAATTATTGTCAAAAATTAAAACAACAAGAAGAATTAGACAAATCTATTAGTTTATCATCGTTAAAACCAATCGATTTGAGAACAGAAGAAGGGAAAAAACGACGTCATCAAAATACTACTCGGCCGAAACATGAAAATGAAAACTTGAGAGATACTATTCGTAAACGCGAACTTGAAAATAGACGCTTACAATCATTGTCAATCTCGTATTCAAATTCATTATCATCATATGAAGAAGAAAACAACAGAAAAGAAAAAGAAAATGATCATGAAATAATTTCACCATCAAAATTGTTAATCGATAGTATGAGTCCTGGTGCAAAAAAAAGAGCATCACTTCGTTTGATGGACAAAAAAAGTGAATTATCAAGAGGAATAATAACAGTAAATTTTTCTCATTTTTTTCAAAAAATTAAAGACAAATAATTTTCAACGATTTTCTGAGCTCTTAAGAATATTTTTAATTTTTAGAATGTTAGACAAAAATTAGGAATTAATCTTTCTAATCAATACTTTCCACCATCAAGTCAAGCACCACAACATCAACAACTCTTTATTTAAAAATTGAAGATTTTTTCAATCAAGATGCTATATCTCGTGTATGTTCTGACAAAAATAAACAAAAACATGGTCATCAAATTCGATATAGATTGAATAGTTTATCTAACTTACAAGTAAGTACTCAATATACAACTCAATATAGTGTTGGTCCCTTGGCAATTTATAAGCAACATCAGTTCTCACTTTCAATAAATCTATGAATGTTTTTTAAATTTTAGCAACGTTTTAAAGTACAGACTGGAATTGATATCGATTATACGACTTTTATTCGACATGTGTCAGATTATATTATCAAACCAAATGTTGAGGGTGTGGGTGTGGGTGTGGGGTGTGGGTGTGGGTGTGGGTGTGGGTGTGGGTGTGGGTGTGGGTGTGGGTGTGGGTGTGGGTGTGGGTGTGGGTGTGGGTATGGGTTCAAAGAAGACTCACACCCACATCCACACCCACACCCTACTAAGTTTTGTTCCAACTGGATCAGGTGAATTAACTGAAGATGAAGGAAAAATAAATCAATTTAAAAAAGAATTAAACAAACTAAAAGACGAAAAATTCAATATTACATTTGCCGAATGGCAGAAAACTAAATCCGATAATAATAAAGCACCAGTATCAACCAAAAAAAATGATAACATCAACAATTGAAACATTTGTATTGAAATTATTATCGGAAATTGGTGTAAGACCTTCTGCTATTCATAACCGTTATAATGATATATACAATAGCCTTCTATTCATATTTAGTTATTAGCTCAACACTTAGTTCGTGTACGTGCACAATTTCATGCGGCTAAAATAGCAAAAAGTCATGCACAAAATGATGATGATACAGCTACTATCTTATTCGATTGGAGCGAAAATTACAATTTAAGACAAACTAAAGAGGAAAACGGTACGAAACTGTAAAGTTTCATTACACTAAATGTTTCGAGAATAATTTTCTACTGTACAGGAGCATACTATAACACACAAAATGTGTCATTGCACACCGGATATGTGTATACAAAATACGAAAAGTGCAGCTTTGCCTCAATCTCCGATGAAACTAATCATATGGCCGAAGTTGCTTGGACAAGTCTTCAACCATTGTTAACTAAATTGATTGAACAACAACACAAAATACAAATTTATTTAATATCAGTGAGTACTAAATTTAAACAGTTCTTTCCATGTAACATTAACTGTAAAGATCTCTTCTTACTAAAATTTTCTATATTGATTATTCAATAGGATAGTCTTGTATCTCAATATCGTAATAAAACAAGTGCATTTATGATAAAACAATATTGTAAAAGAGATAAAATTGATATTAATTGGATATTTTATGAATCAGGACATGGTAAAGGGATACCAGATGCAGTGGGAGCATCATTGAAAAACAAATTTGATCAAATCGTAGTGTATTATTCTGATGATGCATTTCAAGCAGCGGTTCGTATTTAATCGTAATCAAAATATTTCCATTTCTATATAGAATTATTTCTTAGAGTGATCTAGTTACAACTGTTAAAAATGATACAGAAACAAAGCTATTTCTTTATGAAAAATCTGATATTGATGTTCTCAAAGAACAAATACCAAAATTAAAAGCTGTTAAAGGAACAGCAAGAATGTATGAATTAATTGGAAGAAAAAATGAACAACTATACAGTAAAGATATCTCGAATGATCAAGAAAGATTATTGAGAATGAATTTTTAATTTACTTCAGTGGCTAATCCAGGATTTTTGGGTATGCTGGATCTCATCTACGGAGGATGGGACCAAGATGAAACTTATGGAGGGTGATATTGGACCCAAATGATGAATTTCTATCAAAATTTTGATAGAAATACATCATTTGGGTCCAATATCATCCTCCATAAGTTTCATCTTGGTCCCATCCTCCGTAGATGAGATCCAGCATACCCAAAAATCCTGGA